ATTCTCATCGATTGCCAATGGATTCCTATGTGATTTCCATGGAGTCCTAGGAGATTCCTAGTGATTCTCAAATTATTCCCAGGGAGTCCCAAGTGATTTTCATGTATTCCTGATTAATTACTATATGATTTCCAGAAAAATGTACAATAATTTTCACCAGTGGTTTACCCCTCGGATTTCTGATTATTGATGATATCGAAAAGACAGTTTTCCATCCAAAATGTCGAGAAAAAAAAATAAAAACTCCACTTTTGTTTAGATTTTGTTACTGATTTCAAAATTTGATGCAGTATCTAGAAGATCCTGTTGAACAATGGTAGCGGTACCACTAGTACGGTACCCTATCGAAAATCTCCAGAAAGAAGATAAAACCTTGAGGGGTTAATCACTCCCCGAAATCGTGTCACAAATTCGTCCGAAATCCTACAGAAATCCTTCCGAAATCCACGAAATCACTCCGAAATCTTTCCGCAGACTCAAAAATCCCTCGCAATTTGCCCAAAATTCATAAATCGGTCAATGCTGCCGTTATTTAGTTTATTTTAATACACTTTCGAACATAAGATATAAGATAAGTAACAGTCTAAAATCAAATTGAAATATTTGCGAAATCACCTGAAATTCTCCCAAATCACCCGAAATCCTTCGAAATCAACCGAAATTTCTCAAAATTGCTCTAAATCTGAAATCTTGTCACATCCCTCGAAATCTTTCCGAAATCCTACCGAAATCTTCCGAAATCACCCGAAATCTTGTCACATTTTTCCCTTAGTGAATAACCCCTCTTACTTTTTACTATTAATCCTCTATCGACCTTATCAAGTCCCTGCTAAAAGATGGTAAATAGTAACATTTTTTTGAGGGGGTAGGTAGTCACTGTGGAAATCTTCTGTCCAACGAGATAAAAATCGGAGATTTGTGGAGATACATGGATATCCGTGAAGATACATGGATATTCGGTAAAGATGCATGGGGATTTATTGGAGATACGTGGAAATCCGGTGAGGATATCCAAGGATATGCCTGGAGACCCTAGGAAATGTAAGGATATCCATAAAGATCTATGGAATTACAAAAATATTTCCAGAAATATTTTCACAAATGGAGATTTCCTGTTGTCGTTACTTTCTATCCTCCTACGGGATAGAGATCCGCGTCAAGATATGTGAATGTCCGTGGAGATACTTCAATATCCATTGAAGATACATGGAGAATACGTGGAGATTCAAGAACTTCGAATGCTGAATCGGAAAAGCGTGATTACGTACACACAATCAACTAGTATCGTGATTATTAATGTCGTATATGGAGCTCCGGAGGAGATACATGGAATTCCAAATCTCGATCCAAATGATCTCCATGGAGATCCAAGGATATGCCCTAGAGATCCAGGGATATGCCTGGAGATCCAAGGATATACCTGAAGATCCAAGGATATGCCTGGAGATCTAAGAATATGAAGATTTCGCAAGCGACTAGCCGGTTAGCCATACCCACTATCAATACCCAGGCCGGAAAAACTCCAATCAAATGGAAGAAAATCAGAACTCTATATGGATCTAACCAAAGACAATGAAGGAGGTCCTCAAGACGCCAAGCAATCTTGTAAATATTGCAATACAGGCGTAAACCTGACGTGGCTGAAGTTAGCTTCATATTTATATTCAGATTCATGTATATTACAGTCGACCAGATAATTATTCAAAAGAAAAATTAAAAAACCGTGAAATTCAATTAAATACAATTATTATGTAATCTAAGGAAATAACCCTCATGCAAGCACATTCGAGGATGTTTTCTCCAGTTAAGTTAGGTTTAGGAAAGTTACTATGGGGAAAAACGATAATTTGTTTGAAAATTTGTGAAGAATTAATGATGCTTTGGGGGGATTTTTTGAAATTTGAGGATGATAGAGTTGACCCTTAATGCATCCAAGTTAGGTCTGGGAGAGTCATTACGGGGGGAAGTCGATAATTTGTTGGAAAATTCGTGAAAAATTAATGATGCTTTGTAGGGATTTTTTGAAGTTTGAGAATGATAGAGTTGACCCTAAAGCACAGTCACTTTAAACATGCTCATTGTCTTCTTCTGTACGCTGACGACTTGAAAATCTTCTGTACCGTGAATCAAACAACACAGACACTCCAAACTGAACTCAATCAATTTGTAAGATGGTGAGGAATAAACCACCTTTATCTTAATGCTAGGAAGTGTAAACATATTATGTCATTTTACCGAATCCAAAATCCTGTTACCACAGAGCTAGAAACCGTCAAAACAATAAAGGATCATCTTTGATACAACACTGACTTTCAATAATCACATTGACTATGTTACCACCAAAGTATTCCGACTATCAGGCTTCATAAAGCAAAGACATTGATGACGTTAAAGCGATAAAATACCTGTACCTACAACTGCCTGGTCAGATCCTTCTAAGAATATTGCAGCATTGTTTGGAACCCAAGCTACAATATCCATGTCAACCACATTGAAAGGGTCCGGCGAAGTAAATTTGCAAAATATTTACGCTTCAAATTAAACTTTTCATATAGACAATATTGGACTATTGCACTGTGTGGAATGAAAAGTTTAGAAACTCGCAAGAGAAACTCCCTGATAATGTTTCTCTATAAACTCCTCAACAATTTGATAGACTGCCCGGCACTACTAGAACAAGTAGGATTTCTAGTCCCATCTCTAAGAACTAGACAGAGGCTACTACTATTCTATTAACCAAGGCACAGAATAAATTATGGGCAAAGTGCAATTGTTACTAGATTACTTTCTTTACTTTAGTGATATAGACATTTTCAAGATTACTCTACCTAAATTAAAAAGCCAAATTTGATAATTTAATCTAGTGTTACTTTTTACCTTTATTTCGTGAGTTTGTTATGTATCATCGTTTTTTTTTTTTTGTTCTTTTCTCTTTTTAAATTTTGTATTTGTGTTTATATTTTGTACTTTGTATTTGTATTCTATTGTAACTATTGTGATTGTTAAATTTGGTATATTTTCAGTGTACCATTTAGTATTTTTCTGTAGTGTGCACTTTAAACAGACTAAATAAATGGAAACATTTTTCTCAGAGGGTAGGCAATGTGGAAATCTTTTGTCCTATGAGATGAAGATCTGTGGAAATCCATCGATATTCGTGAGAATACATTATGCGGTAAAGACACATGGAGATTTATTGGAGTTGTGGAGATCCAAGGATATTCATGAAGATGATCTATATGGAGTTACAAAGAGATTTCGACAAATAGAGATTTTCTGTATTAAAAAAACTTAAGTATGGATGTCCATGGAGATACATAGAGATTTATTAGAGATACATGGAGATCCGTTCAAAATACAAAAAAATCCAAGAATTACGGCTGCACTTGTGTAGAATCGGAAAAGCGTAATTGTGTGCAAACATAATTTTAACTGATACCGTGATTATTAATGTTGTACCTATATGGAGGTCCGGAGAAGATACACGAAGCTCCATGGAAATCCAAATTTCGATCCAAATAATTTCCATGGAGATCCAAGAATATGCCTGGAGATCCAAGGATACGCCTGGAGATCCACGAATATAGAGATCTCAGGATATCTTTGGACATTTAAGGACATCCATGGAGATATATATCAAGTTTCAGGAAATCAATGCGAATGAAGAAAACCGCAAGTGACTACCCTCTCGTATTTTTCTAAGCTTAAAATGAAATCTCATTCCTACCGTCATCTAAAAATCTATAAAAAATACGTCAAATTGCGAAAAAAGAATACACTAAATTCACTACTAAAAACGTTCCTTTGAAATTTGATGAAGCAATTTTATAGAAAATAAACTGGATAACTACTTATTTGCTTTTTCAACATAATAAAGTTCAACAAACATTAAATACTTCAAATATCTTCAGAAAAGCTAAAAATGCTTCAATGAAACGCATAAAAGAACTCATAAAACCTGTTAAAATTTGGTTCCAAACCCAGGTAGGAACCTACACAATATACTTACCCAACTAATAATTTTATAATATAACAAGAGGTAGGTAATCTATTTTATTAGTAGGTATTTGATTATCGCTTTTCAAAACATTTATAAAACATTCATATGGAAATAGTATTAACAGAATTATTAAAGTTTTATAATATGATTGTATAGGTATGACATAAAAATACTCAAAATGTATATAAATGCTTCAGAATTCATTATACCTATAAAGTGAATTTCTTTAAAGCTTTCTTCATTTTTGATGATTCACCTAAGTTTCCTTGAAAAAATGTTTGGCGAAAATGAAAAATACTTCATGAAAACGATTCAGAAATCGTTCTAAGCCTGTAAAACTATCTTCAACTACCAGGTAAAAGCTTCGTACTGTACTTATGCTTCAAAATTCATATCAGAGTGCAATTCGTTAAAGCTTTCTTGATTTTCAATGATTCAGCTCGAGTTTTCTTGAAAAAATGGTTGGAACATGAAAAATACTACGCTTCAGAGAAATCATTCATCTAAAATCCGGTAAAACTACCTTAAACTTTTGAATAAAGTTTCGCATATTAAAAATCCCTCAAAATGCAAATTCACATGACTGATAATAATCTTTGGGAAAAGGCAAAAGAATTTATGAAAGACGCTCAATAATAAGACTTCGCACAACAAAAATATCAATGGAAAAACCAATAAGATTCGTGCTAAAAGACACCTTGGATACATTAATAAATTCAAAAAAAAAAAAAAAATAACGAAAAAAACAATAAAAATCATTCCAAAAGACACTTTTATACATTAATAATTTATTTAAAAACCTCAATATAATAGAGACAACCCTATAAAACGTTAAAAAAGCTCCCGTAACGGTTGCCCAGACTCAAATAAGGGTGAAACATTTAATTCAACCGTCAAGCGAAAACCGAAAATGGCAGATGGCCCTTTAAATTATCAATGTTTCATAAACATTTATCAATAATTATTCTTTGTGAAAATGTTGAGAAAATAAAACACACACCTGTTGTGGACTGGACGAAAACCGTCAAGAAAATGCCGAAAGTTATAATCCAAAGTTTCTTCTTCTTGACGTTGTTAATCCACATTTTGTTAAAGTTTTCCCCCACATGGGGCACACTAAACACTTTTTCTATATCCTGTTGAAACAAAAAAATAATCCACTTTCAAAATTCCAAAAAACAACCGTTGAGAAAAGTTTATTTTTCGCGGGCTTAGTAGGGCATAGTTTCGAAACCTGTCCGGTAATTGGTTGATTTGAAAATTTTCAAAAACAAAAGTTACTTTTTTGAGTAATAGAGAGCGCGCGCGTCACACTGACAGGTCGAAACGTGCATACGCTACGGCGTCGAAAGTACAAATGAAAGAGAGAGAGGGGGAAAAACTGTTTGAACCTGGTAACCAAAATGGCCGACCCCCTAGTATTCCTACGCGCAAGAACTTTAAAGCTTTATATTAAAGCTCGACTTTTTTTTTATTCTCGCGTAATCAATTATTATTAAACAGTTTTAATAAAGACAAAGATTTGCATGAAATTTCTAGAAAAAAATCAGTAAAATTTTGCTCGATAATGGCGTGAGAATTTTTTGAAAAAAGAACTACTTTTCGATGTGCTGAGGAATGCGCGACCCCTTCTTCTGAAAAGTCGAAGATTCGGCCAATGACGTCGAAATGAAGAATGGCCTTTGGCTATCATCGACGGTGTACTGAAGAAGAGATGCATTATTCTTATGGTGCACTTATAGTCAGTGTGCGGGTGCAAATTTTATCTTCACAAGGTGAAGATATGTATACCTAGAGGAGGGTAGTACAAAGTCAGACGAAATTTGCCTTTTTGGTTCTAAATTTTTTATTTGTAAAAAATTTGGAAACTCTTTGGTTCAGTCAATAATACAACCATTTGCGCCTTAACAGAAACTAAAGATAACGTCATAGAAAAAACAAAAATATACATTTCTTTGTGATTGTTTTTGTCTCAGTTGGTACCTAAATGTGTACTAAGTGAGATACTAGTACAAGTACAAACTGATGAGACGTAGAAAAATATTGCTAATACGAATAATGCGATATCAAAATAACACAGATATAGTATTACCTTAACATATAATGATAATTCTTTTGTTGTGTTAGAAAAACTAGCGAATGTTTACTGAACTGAAATTGATTCCGAATTTGTACATCACAGATTATCGCTTGGTAGTGTCTGGAATAGGTTCTTGAAGTAGGTATCAGAGCTATATGTCATTCAAAGTAATGAAAGATATACTCTTGGCACAGTCGAACAGGAAGAAATTAGAAAATTTAGCACTCTTACGAAAAAATAATACAGTCTTATTTAGTACGAAATATGTTGTATCACTTAGTAGTTTTTTGTTCCGTAAATTGAAACCCCCTAAAAATCGCATTCATGTTAAAAATGGGCTCTATCGCTATGTGGAAAGTGAGTTTAGTAACCAAAAGGTATAAACATTACATCATATTACTAATATTCTAATATTCTACAAAATAAATTGATTACAGATTATCTGAAAAAATAGGAAAGTAACTGGCTTAATTTAAATTTAGTTTTCACTTCAAAAATCCGTAAAGGTTTGTCCAAAACTTCGATAGAGCAATTCAAAAATGTTTACATCATTTTTGAATCAAAGTTCCAGAGAGTCATAATTCCAATTAAATTTGGGCAATTTCATTTAAATTATATAAGTACCTATCTCTCAAAAATTCACTATAATTCAAGTAAAATTTAGTATAAGTAGTTCCTTCTATTACTATACTGAACTATTGGGTTTCTAAGTTGAGCTTCAGTCGACATTTTAAATTGAATATTTCTTATATTCATCTTGTTAACAAAACAATCATTATTTATAATTACAATATGTTTTTTCCCGTTTTCTGATATTTTTACAGATTCAAAATGCTCAAAATTACCTCAAAAAATACCTGTAGGTACATACGTGATTCTATGACTTTTCAGAATTTGGAACATCAATTAGGGAGTCATTTGGTACACGCCAACAGGTTCTGAAACAGAAACATTTTGAACCTGGGTCAACCACTATATGCTTACATATTGTACAGATTAAATTTTTTGAAAAACTCACTTTCGCATATACAGGGTGTTTCAGAAAAGCTAGTCGTGCTCCAACTTTCTTATTTTGAATGGAATACCCTGTATATTATTGAATATTCGAATTCTACATAGAATTCTGAACAGATTTTATTTGATATACCCTATACCCAAGTTCAACTGTTTTGGAAATATTGTCAGTTGAAAATTGATTTTTTGCAACCTTGACAGGCTATAAAACCTAAACGGTTAACGTTTGAGCAAAACCGATCTCACATTTTTTTCTTAGATTTTCATAAGCTATCATTTGACACCAACCTTGAATTTAATCGGAGATTAAATTTAATTGGAATTTTTAATCATGGATTAAATTCAAAGTTGGTGTCAAAAATTAGTGTCACCTGATTGTTTATGAAAATCTAAGATAAAATTGTGAGATCGGTTTTGCTCTAAAATTAACCGTGTAGGTTTTAGAGCCTGTCAAAGTTGCAAAAAAGTCAATTTTCAACTGTCAATATTTCCAAAACAGTTGAACTTAAGTATAAGGCGGTTACACACGGACGTGGATGTCTGAAAACATGTACGCACATACATGAACGTGCAAACAAAAACATCAATGTGTATACAAAATATCGTCGCGTTTTTGAATGTGCAATTTTGTATGCACACTCGGAACACTGTAGCAAGAATAGCAAGACTGCAGTTTTGTACGAGCGTGTGTACAAAAGCGCCATGGACGTTCTCAGTTGCACGTTGATGTATGCACGTATATGTATTAAGACATTCACGTCCGTGTGTAACCGCCTATAGGGTATATCACATGAAATCTGCTCAGAATTTTATGTAGAATACGAATGTTCAATAATATACAGGGTATTCCATTTAACATAAGAAAGTTGGAGCATGACCAGCTTTTCTGAAACACCCTGTATATGCGAAAGTGAGTTTTTCAAAAAATTTAATTTCAACCATAAAACTTTTATTTGGGACACTTTTTTCTAAAATGTCAAATAAAAAAGATAGAGGGGGGTGACATTTATAACCAAATAACCCTGTACAAGGTACTTTTTTATATATTGACACCCCACCTGAGCCCTTTACAGGTAGATGAAAGGTGTAAATACAAACGTTGTACAGTATTAACTAAATTTCTAGAATCCATGGTCAGAAACAAAAATTGAATGTCAAAAATGTGAAATATTACATGCTTTCAGCTTTTTTAAAATGGGATGTGCTATATATTTGGTTCTATATTCTTGAAGAGCACAATTTCCCGATTCCAAAACTATATAGTTTGTCTATATTTGGTTGAGTCGTTTCCAACCTATTTGGTTCTAAAAATTTCAAAAACACTATCAGAAAAACCAAGTAGGTACCTCAAATTTTACCTGCAGCTTTCACCTATACAGGTAGAATGGTTCACAAAATCAGTACCTAGTAGGATAGTATTATTACAATTTTTGGAGCCAAATATATGAGAGATTGCTCAATCAAATATAGATCGGTGCATTGTGCTCTTCAAGAATATATATAGAATGAAATATAGGGCATCCCATTTGAAAAAAGCTGGAAGCATGCAAAATTTCACATTTCTGATATTCAAATTTTGTTTCTGACCATGATTTCTAAAAATTCAGTCAAAACTGTACAACTTTTGTATTTACACCTTTCTCCTACCTGTAGAGGTAAAGGCTGTAGGTGGGGTGTCAATATATAAAAAAACACCCTGTACAAATAAGTGGATTATTGCGGAAGTTATAGGTGGACCTCTGCGGGACGAGCGCAGCGAGTTCCGCAGCCATCTACTTACCAATATACTATTGAACTGTTCAAATAAGACATTCACCTGAAACGTGTAGTTTTTAAACTAATGAGAATAGCTCACATTTGAGTGAGTCAGGTTAGTATCGTAATTAAACAACATATTGATGAATAGATGGCTGCGGAACTCGCTGCGCTCGTCCCGCAGAGGTCCACCCATAAATTCCGCAACAATTCACTCATTTGTTCTTCAATAGCTTGTCACATTATGTTACTAGTTTGGTAAAGTAACATTATTAATTCCTGTCGAAAAACAAATTGATAAAAAGTGAATAATAATCTTACAAATTTTGACTTTGTATAAAAAGTTATTGTATTATTGCGGAACTTATGGGTGGACCTCTGCGGGACGAGCGCAGCGAGTTCCGCAGCCATCTATATGTTGTTTAATTACGATACTAACCTGACTCACGACTCACTCAAATGTGAGTTATTCTCATTAGTTCAAAAACTACACGTTTCAGGTGAATTTCTTACTTAAACAGTTTAACAGTATATTGCTGAGTAGATGGCTGCGGAACTCGCTGCGCTCGTCCCGCAGAGGTCCACCCATAAGTTTCGCAACAATTCACTTATTTGTACTTGAATAACTTGTCACATTATGTTACTACACCTTTTCCATGTGTAATTGCGAATATATCACTTAATATTAGGAATGGTAAAATAATATTGCGAATTAATCACTTCTAATTGAGAATAGTCAGTTGATATTGCGAATAAATTAAATGTAATTAGGAAAAGTTAAATGTAATTGCGAACACATCAAATGTAATTGAGAATAGTTAAGTGTAATTGCGAATATATCATATGTAATCGGGGATAATCAAATAAAATTAATGATGAATCAAATATAATTGAGCCTTTCAATTTTTCAATCGAAATCTGTATATTGTTGCTAAAATAACTAAGTCTTTTGTTGAGGAAAGCTTATGTTCACATATAAAGGTAGTTTTGTGTCAAAAGAAAGGAGACACAAAAATGGAATTTCCGGGATAATTGTGATGTATGCAAATCGACAATGACGAGAAAGAGTCGACAGAGAAAATATTTGATAAAGTCTTGATATAATATTTAATTAATTCGCAATTACATTTGAAATATTCCAAATTTCATTTGATTATGCCCAATTGCGTCTGATATATTCCCAATTACACTTAACTTTTCTCAATTACATTTGATATATTCGCAATTACATTCAACTTTTCTCAATTACATTCAATATAGTCGCAATATCACTTGACTATTCGCAAAATCAATTGATGAATTCGCAATATAATTTGCTATATTCGCAATTTTATGTGGAAAAGGTGTAGTTTGGTAATAAAGTAACATTACTAATTATCCTGTTGAAAAACAAATTGACAAAAAGTGAATGATCTTACAAATTTTGACTTTGTATAACAAGTTATTGTTCAAGTACAAATTAGTGGATTATTGCGGAACTGATGGGTGGACCTCTGTGGGACGAGCGCAGCGAGTTCCGCATCCATCTACTCACCAATATACTGTTGAACTGTTCAAGTAAGACATTCACCTAAAACATGTAGTTTTTAAACTAATGAGAATAACTCACATTTGAGTGAGTCAGGTTAGTATCGTAATTAAACAACATATTGATATATAGATGGCTGCGGAACTCGCTGCGCTCGTCCCGCAGAGGTCCACCCATAAGTTCCGCAACAATTCACTCATTTGTTTTTCAATAACTTGTCACATTATGTTACTAGTTTACCATTACTAATTCCTGTTGAAAAACAAATTGACAAAAAGTGAATAATCTTACAATTTCTGACTTTCTATAATAAGTTATTGTTCAAGTACAAATAAGTGGATTATTGCAAAACTTATGGTGGGAGCAAGAATCCTGAACTCTACAGGATTGCTCAATCGGCTAAAGGACCCCTCACTTTTCTTATGCAAAATGGCTTTCGGCCAATTTTTTCAAATATTTATGTATGTTGTAGTCCTTGATGTTCTGAACAAATATATCCATGGGCCCAATTCGATCCTATGTTCAGTTTCCGAGATATCGGTGCTGAAAAGTTGGACAAAGGGGAATTTTAAACATTTTCCTATAATCTTAGAAATAGCCTATTATAAATAAAAACCTTACTTTTCTGATAAAATTATTATATGAGAATTTTGCTCATAGTATGGTGTTTTAAATGTGAAATTCATTTTTTATAGACGGTGAACTAAAATATTTATATAAAACAAACGGCCAGCTTTTCACGAAGTTGACGAAGCTCTGACATTTTTTAACTATCGATAGCCAAAGAAAAATAACGCAATTAATTGTTTGGACGATGTAGCATAATAATGGGTATTATGGAGTTTAATGGTCTCCAAACTGAGAAGTATGGGGTGTTGAAATTGCGGGGAAATCTCTGGACTATAGAAACTGAAGACTAAAATAGCCCTTCGAACCATACATACCTTAATCCAAAAGTTAACAAGTAAAAAGTTACAGGGTGGTAAATTATCGATTTAATTTTCGATTTTTTTGTTTAACTTGAAAACTTTCTAATTTTGAATTAATGCGCTACGTGGAGAATCAAGAAAAAAATGTATAAGGTAGTATATTTCCAGCTGTCAATATATCCAAGACTACTAAAAATAGGATATCCAAACCTTATACACTTTTGTCTCAGAATATACAGGGTGTTTCTGAAACGGGAGATCAAACTTCTATAAAGATAAAGAGTACTTATTGAAATTTTAAAAAAAAAAATAGAAACATAGGTCCGCAAATGCTCAGTTTTCGAGATACAATAAGGTGTCAAAGAAAAATATCGGTTTTTTAGCTAAAAAATCCGTTTCCCCATTTGCTTTAAACTTGGCAGGTTGGTTTGTTATAACAAAATGTATGTTTTGACTTAATTTGATATATGCGGTAATTATTCCAGTGGTGCCCCAGTACTGGTGAAAGTAGAAAAAAATTGTCACGTCACTGTTTTTTTATAACTTTAAAATATTTTTTTTGAGATTAAGCAACACTGATGAGGAAATTGAATTCTTAAATTGTCTTACTGGAATTTTCTTCATTGCAGACAAAATATCTGTAATAACTGCTATAAATTATCTATCTATATTACTGAATAACGTAATATTATGGTTGCTAAAAATTATTTGTTGAATTATCCACATTATCACCTATAGTTATCTATGAGCTCCTATAAAATACTTTACTCTTGTTAAAAATTTAATTTACTAATGTATTCAAATTTCTTCATACGAATCTACTACAACATTCTAAACTAGTTGTTACATTATTCCCGGCTCATGATTCGAGTCAAGAGCCGAGAATAATCAAAAATTGAGCATTGAATAACATCTGCAAAGCGAGTCAATTCTGATTCGATTTTGGAGCTCTACATTGACATTAAATAATCAAACATCTACCTAACTGCTCTTTATAATAATAGTACAAAAGATATGGAAATTTTCTCAAAGTCCATCTAACCAAAAACCTAAAAACTTGAAAACTAGAAATACTCTCCACTGTAAATACTTGAATAATAAAATTTAACTTCCATTGATAATTTTCTACGTTTTGTCTTTTTACAGTAGCTGTCCACATAGTAAATTACTAAGCCACTTCATCTTCCTCATATAACATCCTTTATTATGCTCTTCACATCTTAAAATACACACACAGAAACCGGTCTTTACGACTCATTAACTAAAATCCACCTTTATTCATAGCTTTTTGGTTTTGCTTATTAGAAAATGCTTGCGGTGTTGCTATAGGCACAAATATTCAAAGTTTAATCAATAAATCTCTCAGTAAATAGTGTTTATTCATTCAAAAAAGATGAACGAAGAAGAAGAAGCCAAATTGACAGAACTAAATAAGAAAATTTTGGAAATAAAAAAGAAAATCCAGCTTTCAGGTACCTATAATAAATGCCATTTTGCTATATACATAATTTGTTTAACTCAAAACATTTTTAGAGGGTCAAAGACGAGCCCTTTTCGAAGACTGCGAAGCCGAAAGGAAATTTAACGCTGACGAAATTTTAAAATTGAAAAAAGAAATTTCCAATTTGATTGTCGTTTTGCACCAAAGCAAAAGCCCAGTGGCGAAATATCGAATCAAAAATAGGTAATCTTATTAAGCTCTATATTTCAAATTCTCTATCAAAGGGTTTTTTTTTAGGCGATTAGAAGAAATCGTAGGGCCATTAACAGAGAAAACCTGCAACCAAGTCAAAGAAGTTTTGGACTTGCACATCATCGACCTAGGCAAAAAGTTGGATCTTTTGATTTACAGAATCAAAAAGGTAGTTTTTTGGAAAAAATTGATTGATTTAGACTTGATAATAATGTTTTATAGAGGCGCAAATATATGGCCCAACTTGGAGCCGAATATCAAAAATTGGCCAGCCGATTTGAGAAAAGAGAACTCACCATTAAAGTCGATAGACCTGTGAAAAAGGTGAGAATTGACTCTATTGACAAATTTAGTTCAAACTTATTTGAGGTGTGAAGCATGCAGCTCTGGGAATCCTAGAGGTGGAACAGGGGAAATCGTTTCCGTTCTCTATTTAACCTTATACTTTTTCTAGACATTTAATTCTATTGCATTTAAATTGGCATGTAAGATGTTCACTTGCCAGACCGGTATAAGTATATTAAGGTTCCTAGATTCACTATAATCATTGGATTATCTGAGAGAGACTGGTGTTAAAATATAATGTCTTTTATCCTCAAAGTCCACCTCTATCAAATATAGCTATACTTTTGCGCTCCAAAATCAAATACCTACAACTTTGTATAATTTCTTGTAATACATTTATAATCAATTTCGAAGTCTACTAGTGAAATCCAACACAACATCCACGCAGTTGAAGTGCAAATTCGCGAAGCAGTATACATTAAAAACAAGTACGCCGACATACGGAAATCATTAAAAGACGATGCTTCAAAATTTGAAAGTAGAATCAAGGCTTTAGAAGATGAGCTGCAGCTTCAGGGCAGCGATGTACAAAAACTACAAAAGGTGCCAGTTATTCTATTTTCTCAAACACACATACAATATACAATTCCGTAGATAATGGAAGAAGCTACAAAACGTAGAGGTAGAGCTAGAGGCCTCCTCCTAAAAGAAGAAAAACTAGCTTCTTTAGCTGCCAATCAAAGAGAACAAGAATCTGCCGAAGGACGACGACTGGTCAGCGAAAGAAAGGTAAAATTCCACAGCAATTTAATAACTTTTCAAAACAATTACCAATTATTTAAGGTTGAATTAGAAAAACTCGAAAAACGCCTATTTCTTAGTGGTAAACTGCCACTGAGGCCAGAACCTGAAGGAGCAGAAGCCGACGTTGAAGACGAAAAGTCCTCAACCCCTCCACATCCGGTAGAATCAAAAGCGCAAGAGTTTGAGCAACTGAAAAGAGCAACTGGAGGTACATCCACTCAAGAAGTATTGAAACGTTTCGAGGGCCAAAGGGAAACTCAAAATCGGCTCAACGAGCTCCGATCAAAGTCAGAAATTGAAAAAAGAACCATAGAAAGAAATATTGAAGATCTAAAAACCAAGCTGGATGGCTATAAGTATTCAGAATCGCAAGATGCTGAAAAAAAGACAACCGAAATGGACCGAATTCAAGCTGAGATTCTACGTCAACAAGCCTTGTCTGAAACTTACAAGGAAGAAAAAGCCTCAAAGGAACAGGCAATTACTAGCGTTTTATTAAGTTTACACGGTTTCAGACTATTGGCTAATCCTTTGTCGGTGCCAGAAAACGATCCCGAAAAAATGCTAAAAGCCATTTTCAAAGACATCGAAAACGTTGTTAGAAAATATGAAAGATTTAGAATGTCAGACAAAGGAGAAGAAGGAGCGGAAAACATTGAAGACGCTCTGCCAGCTCCATATAGTGGACTCATCCGCAGGACGCCTTTACCGCAAACGGTCGGCAGTCCTAGTCCAGTACCACAACCAGGTAATTTCTCAGATTATCAAAGAAGTTTGCTAAAAAAAAATACATTTTTAGGGTCCGAGGACGAAGAAGAAGTACCGTCGAGGGGCTTTTTGAAGCGACAAGCTCAGCTCGTCATTGATGCTAAATCGAGAAGACGGAATCTGAGGATTCAGTTACCGAAAAGGAATTGAGAGATTGAAAATGCAGAACTTTGCAACCATATTTGACTTTGCAATTCAGATCTTTTGACAAAAAATAATAAGCTACTGCCATAGTCATTTTAGATAGGACTTTTATATAGGTAGCGTTACCTCAGTTTTCAAGATAGGTACTTTGGAGACACTAGACTTTCGAATTTGACGATGCAATTAAAGTGTGAATGAAGAAGGACTATTTCACCTAAAACATGCGGAAAAAAATACTTTACCGCACACTACACAGGATATCCTATCCTTATAAGCCCTGTGTAGAACAAATATCAGCATGTCGTGTCTTGCCTTGAAGTAAGATGTTCGCACTACAGGATTACGCATACTTGGGTTTTAGTCTGAGGGTTTTAGTACATTAATTAACATTCTAAAACAATCCTTTTATTTATATTCTCAACCTTTTCTCAACTGCGACCAAACAGCTAACAACACCATTGATGACGTCGCCAACGGTGCAACACCAAAAATCGAGGTCGATGGAGCAATCCTGTATTTAGTAGTGTGTAATAAATATCCTTGTGAGAAATAGTTGTTGGCGATTTGTACCAATCAAAAACGCTATGATTTGTAATTTCTGTAAGAACGGACGAGGTACCCTAGCTTCATTACCTACTATGCGGTAAAGTAACTTTACCACATAAGTGTGCGGTAAAGAGCTGCTTGCCATTTGAAAATAAGTGCGGTAAAGTGCACTTTACCGTATGATGGTTTTAAAATAAGCTATTTTGAATCTTTTTCTGTTGAAAATAAAACTATACATACCTTCCCTAATAGCACAAAAGGTACATTGGACATTTTTATTAATTTTGGGTATTTTTTGGACCTATCCAACTTTACCGCTATCTCGTGGTAGTTGAATATAGCTTTATCAAATAAATATATTCGAATTGCTTTGAAGGCTTATTTTCTCCCACAATTATGTTAATTTTGATACATTTTAACGTTAACTAAAGCCGAATGAGTTGTTTATTCGATTTTGTTTATTTTTGGTGCCTATGTAAATCTTTTAACTATGGCGCCATCTCGTGGCAGTTGAGTGTAGCTTCATTAACTTTATTATTTCGAAATGAGAAAGTCGAGGAGGCTTATAGTGCACTTATATTAATTACGATCATTTTAACGTAATCAGGCCCTAATTGGAGCAAAGTACGTTATTTATACCATTTTAAGCTTTTTTGGTCTATGTAAATCCCTACCAACTTTGACGCCATCCTGTGGCAGTTGAGTGTAGCTTCATCCTTGATGAGCTTCATTGACCAAATTGTTTGGAGATTATGTGGAGGTCAGGCAACAGGCAAGGATGATACACACTCCTACTACAGGATGGCCTATCCTCATAAGGCCAGGAGTGCGTTTAGAAATGGAGTGTGAGGGTAGACTAGTTGTTTGTCAGAATGTTCTGACGTCATCACTTGTAGTGCACTGTGGTAAATATCAACGTCAAACTCGGTAAAAACCACGGGGTGTTTTTCAACCCAGTCTCTGAGTGGGGTGATTTGGGCGTACTCTGGGCGCGTCAACTCTCGATTTCTGAACGATTCCAGCGTAACGCTCCGAGTAAGCACCTGGTAATTTATGAACGGTTAAAGTTAAGCACTCCTTAGAGTGTGTATTCTCCTTGGAGGTCAAGGTTGCCAATTTGTGGCTAATTACTCACATTTGTGAGTATATTACAAGTTAAATTTTAAATATAAACTTGTGAGAATCAAACATTTTGTTACTTCTAATTTCATTTTTCACTTTCATATGAAAACCATTCTGTTATAACCGTATAACTTTAGAGGAAGGTTTATCTATGCCATACATCGATAATTCTTTATCGATAAAGGTGCATATTGATACGAATTTGTCATTATGTATCGATAAATATCCTTAAACAAAACCAAAACCATCATATGCCATTCGTTAAACGGAAATTGTCAATGTTTCAAATGATCAGCACCTAAAGTTCCAAAAGTTAATAGGTTGTCTGAGTAATGTTAAACAGGTGACGACATCAGAAGGACCTAATTTTTGGATTTGCAGGAGGTAGGTTGTCTGATAACTTTATGAGGTAATTTATGGTGCCTCAACTTAATGCAATTCTCCATAAAGGCACCCCCAGAAGCGTCATCAAGTTACACCAGACAACCTATTAATTTGCAGATAACGTCATAGAAGTTATCAGGCAACCCAAGGTTGTTCGAAATACAGTGACTCTATTACCCACAGTGGCGACAATTGCTGTCTCATTTTTGATTGGTTCTAAAATCTCATATATTTATATTGAAAACGCGGCCATCTTGTTCCCACCTATTGCTTATTTGAAATATGAATATATGGTATTAAGGTGAACATCCATCATAAAACATGGAAAACAACGTATTTGATGAACCTGATAATAGTAATCAAATATGTCGATTTCAATTTTTTATGAAAGATGTCTATTTGAATCCTATAAATTCATATTTAAAAGTATGAGGTTGGGAACAAAATGGCGGCGGGGCCTCTATTGTCGCCAATGAACTATAACCAAAAACTGGAATGCTAACACATAAGGACGAACGTGAAGCCTAGTGCGGCTGCTGCGGAGGGGATACCTGTTTTTGTCGCACTCATTATGTTAAATGGCGAAAATTGCTTCCAACACGTATTCCATTTGATGAAACCAATGAACTATAGCTAAAAACTGGAATGCGCACACATTGCCATATCTGCCAAAAAAATGTAGCCATGAAAGATAGATGCCACAAAGGGGAATGTTGTTTTTTTCTGTTGCTTGCTGACATATGACGTTTTCCAAAGTTTTGTCATATTTCCCTTCACAGGTTTCATCAATTGGAATACGTGTTGGAAGCAATTTTCGCCATTTAACATAATGAGTCCGACAAAAACAGGTATCCCCTCCGCAGCAGCCGCACTAGGCTTCAAGTTCGTCCTTATGTGTTAGCATTCCAGTTTTTGGTTATAGTTCATTGGATGAAACCTGTGAAGGGAAATATGACAAAACTTTCGAAAACGTCATATGTCAGCGAGCAACAGAAAAAAACAACATTCCCCGTTGTGGCATCTGTCTTTCATGGCTTCATTTTTTTGGCAGATATGGCAATTGTGCGCATTCCGTTCATTGATTGTCGCCACCAATGAACTATAACCAAAAACTGGAATGCTAACACATAAGGACGAACTTGAAGCCTAGTGCGGCTGCTGCGGAGGGGATACCTGTTTTTGTCGCACTCATTATGTTAAATGGGGAAAATTGCTTCTAACACGTATTCCAATTTGATGAAACCTGTGAAGGTAAATATGACAAAACTTTCCAAAACGTCATATGTCAGCGAGCAACAGAAAAAAACAACATTCCCCTTTGTGGCATCTGCCTTTCATGGCTAAATTTTTTTGGCAGATATGGCAATGTGTGCGCATTCCAGTTTTTGACTATAGTTCATTGGTCGCCACTGTATGTAAAGGTTTATTTAGCCACTGTAGTTCGAAAGAGATGGGTTGTCTGACAACTTTTTTAACGTCATCTGGGTTGGCCAAACATAATGTAAATCTCCATGAGGTTCTCCTGATGACGTCATCTGTTTAGCATTACCAAACCAAGGATAAATACACATTACTACTTACTACAGGATAGCCTATCCTCATAGGGCCTGTGTAGAACAAATCTGAAGTCCGCCACCAAGCCAAATCACCCAGTTGTAACGTAAGCAGCATGTCGTTTCTCGCATTGACGTAGACTGTTTGCACCACAGCTTATGACTCCGCAGGCTTTTGGTTTATGCATACTTGGTTTTAGTACATTAATTAACATTCTAAAACAACTCCTTTTTAGATCTATAGTTTGCATCTTCCTCTTTGCCTATTATGTTAATTAAAATTAAATGATATGCTTCATCATAAATTTAAATTCTAAACTATACCATTTCCAAATTTAAGGGCCGGTTACTCAACAGCGAGTAACCTAGTCCGGGTTGGCTTTAACTCCAGGTTAAGCGTGTCCAGTTGCTATATTTTCCCTGCAGTCATTCTTAACCCGGGGGTGACCTGCTATTGAGAAACCGGCCTTAAGCGGTAGTAAATGCATTAAATAACCTAAATTGTAAACAAGCACTAGCCTTCCTATTGATTGAAAGGCCCCTGGACTAGTACGCATGCACGGAGGACATTTGATAGGTTGTAATGAAAATGACCAGTTATGTCATTACTGCGTGCCGCTTGAATTTGGTTCAACCATAGGATTGCTGGCATAAATAGCTGAAGATAGTTAATGACGTCGGCAATGGTGATAGTTGGTAGTATGTATTATCCTTGACAGCTTACGACACTGTTGATGACATCGGCAACGGTGCAACACCATGACCTTGATTCCAAAAATAGAGGCCGATAAGCAATCCTGTATTTAGTAGTGTGTAATATCCGTGAGAGAAGTAGTTGTTGGCGATTTGCACCAATCAAAAACAGTCTGATTTGCAATTTCTGTAAGAACAGACCTGCGGTATAAAGTAGCTTCAACGCATACTTTGCGATGAAGTAACTTCACCACATAGTAATAGAATTTTACATACCTTCCCTAATAGCACAAAAGGTACCTACAATGGACGTTTTTATTGATTGTGGATATATTTTTGGACCTATTAAATCCTCCTTTAGTGCCTTGATAAACCTTTATAAACTGGTGACAATAGATGAAAATTTTGCACAACATAGCTGCCATCCATTTGGTTTGTACAGGCGGTGGCAATGTTATTGCAAAATTTTCGTCCATTTTTGCCACTGTTTGTGAAGGTCACTGGTAAAGGTTTATCGAGTCACTGTAAGTCCCCCTTCAACTTTACTGCCATCTCTTGGTAGTTGAAAATAGCTTAATCAATTAAATATTTTCGTCTTGGGGCCCACGTAAATCCCCCCAACTGTAGTGTCATCTTGTGGCAGTTGGGTCTAGATATTTCTATGGCATAAACCTAACTATATATGCAAGTAATCACCTAGTTAAAATTTTGAATATAAACTTGTGAGAATCATTTGAAACCATTCTGTGAACATAATAATTTGGAGGAGGGTTTATCGATACGATATACCGATAGATAGATTTGCAATGTCAAAAAAGAGCGAATTTCGCTGTTATGAGTACTAGGCTTAAAAAGGCTATTTATACAATGGTCATATCGATAAGGATCTTGCAAAATTAAGAATCATCATCTAATGCCATACGTTAAACGCAAATGTATTTTAGATCACCCAGAACATTTAACCTAATAGCAACGCTTATTGAGCTGAAAGTGTCTCTCATGTCAGCCGCAGACCTCAACTCTTACTATTACAATGCATTATGTGAGTTTAAAAAACTATAAATCAAAAAACGAATTCCTAAATGTTGAGATCACCTTTTCTACATGTGATATCAACGAAAAAATTAACTCACAAGCACAGCTTGAATGGCAAGTAATCTATCGAGGTCTGCATGTGACGTCACCACTATCAGTTGCTCTGCTGATATTTGTGACGTCATTCGCAGACCAGCTGTCGACTCAACATTGGCGAACGTAGCACCATAGAATGTAGGACTAGGATGAGCAATCCTGTTAGAGTAATGATTCTTGATCAGTACCCTCATATTTTTTGTATGTCAGGCTCTTGAATTTTCTTTATTTCGAAAAATTCAAGAGCCGTGAATAATCAAAAATTGAGCTGGAAAATTGAGAAATAGAGAGAAAAAATTTGAGAGGAATCACTAATCAGAGCGA